ACAATGACCACAATTATATCTACACCTTGAGTACATGTCTTGCACAATGTGAAGGTCTTCTATTACATAAAATGACCACAAGTATCATATCTACACCTTGAGTACATGTTTTAAATACATGTGAAGGTCTCCTGTATCAACAATGACCACAATTATCATATCTGCACCTTGAGTACATGTTTTAAATACATGTGAAGGTCTCCTGTATCAACAATGACCACAATTATCATATCTACACCTTGAGTACATGTCTTGCACAATGTGAAGGTCTTCTATTACATAAAATGACCACAAGTATCATATCTAAACCTTGAGTAATGACCACAAGTATCGTATCTAAACCTTGAATATTCACAGTTTGAAGAACTTGGAATGCTGATTTCAAATGCAACATTTGAAAAAATAAATGTAAAAGTAAAAATCATTTTCTGTTTGGCTTTTTGTAGATATAGAATAGCTGATTCAGTATAATCAAAGTACAGAGGCACAAGTTTTTAAGCATTGCAATCATTCATTGTCATTCAATCACCAAGGTACTGGGTAAATTGATAAAAATGTTTGTCCTCTATTAACATATTTAACCTTGAGAGAAATATTTGGATGTTCTGGTGTTAAGCAGCAAATATGGCGCCTGTAAGGTGGAAATTTCTATTAATGTATACCTCCCATTAGCACTGGTAAATATGCAAATGTTGTGTTGTTTTTATTGCATTACTATAATGTTCTATGAATGCTGCATTAGAATATCAAGTTAAAATTGAGAACTTCAACGTGTTAGGTTTGATTAAAGGTTTTCCCCATAGACATGTGGGTGGAAAAAATCCATTTCCTGGCCATTCTCAGTCTCTTTTCACTGTGTGGATTTTTTCTGCATTTCAATATACTGCTATAAAAGCAGGTGTAATTTATTAGAATTGATATTAAGAAGACTATTTTTTTTACAGTGCACTTAAAGTAATAGTCGTGGGTGGGTAGAATTATTACAAACATCTGTTTTTTGTCATGATCTGACACAATGTCATAAAAATGAATATTTATGGAGACAATATATTCCTGTTAAGGTGATTTTGAGCTAGATAGGAATTATTTTGTTTAGATGAGGTTGGAAAACAACAGCTTTTCAGAAAATTGATTAAAGCTTGGAAATAGATTGAAGTTCTAAATAACTTTTTAGTGGATATCTTATTGAACAAGAGAAAACCAGATTCCAAGGAACAGTTACAATTTCTAATTAAAGCTGGGAAAAAAGAAGATATTTCAAAGAACATAAATTATGTTAAATTTTGTAATTTACCTGTAAGAACAAATTTAAGGAGATTAATTGGAGTTATATATTAGACAAGATGGCTGTAGCTTCTGAAGGATTTAAGGATTTAGTACCAAGTCATTTCTTTGGTAGGTAGTTGTGTATTTTTTTTTGTCTTATTGATATACTTTGTTGCAATTGCTTTAATGCCTTAAATAATAAGCTATGACCATTAAGAAAGAGTTAACATTGAAATAGCTGAATTGTGATAATTCGATGAAAATTTGATTTGCAAATCCTAACACATCTATGAACAACAATATGTGTCCACAGGACACCTTGTCCCACTTGTATTACTTTGGATTCATTTATTTTCTTGGGTGCCAATTTTCGTGGATTGAGGAAAACTTGCATTTTCTTGAATAATTATTCTCAAGATTTTGCCAAAGTCTTCATACAACCTTATAGAAAAAGTGCCATTCGTTGAACGTTTAAATTCATGGTTGACCTGTACCTACGAATTATCCAACAATTGGTATTCAACGAATAATAATGAATCCACAGTTTTACATATCCATATTTATCAACTGTGAAATCTCAGGGTTAAAACTCTAATTTAGCATATATATATAAATATACATATAAAGTCTCTGATTGATTGTATAATAAAAACTATAACACAATTTTCCAAATGGTATCAAATATATATATATATATATACAAGTCTAAATTGAAAACAACGTTCAAACCTATGATTGCTTTTGATAAAAACCGCAATTTTTATACGTGGGCATGCAAAACAAATTTCTTGTTAGAGGGGTCTAAATACAGCACAAACAACATTTTCCAAAAAAACCAAAAAAGTGAAAAAGTAGTATTTTAACAAAACACATTATACTAACAGGTCGAACAACAAATGCTCTTTAATATATATATATACAATCCCAAACGAAAATATATATATATATATGAAGAAAATTACTTTATAATGAACATACAAGCCTCTCTTCTTTGATAGGGGGGATATCAAAATCTTTGTGGGATACCAGTAAGCGTTTATGTCTGGGGGTATCAATATTGTGTTTTTTGGACATCAGTCTTATTTGTGGGTGTTATATATTCAGCATAACAAATGTCAAACTGATTTAGTAATGTGTAAATTCTGAAAAAACAAATTCAAAAGCCAACCAAAAAGTATGATTGTAGAATTTAAATTGGAATCCAAAATTTAAATTCATTATTTAAGGTTCTATTATGTTGAACACCCTCAAATTTGACCTTATATCACAGGAGGAGTCTGCTTTGATATCTTGAGCACTTTATTATCACTACCCGGTACTTTATTGTTAATCTTCAGTTAAAATTTTTTTTTTTTTAAAACAAATGAGGATAATCCGAATTTAATTCCACATACATAATATGAGGACAATACCTATTATGATAGGTCATTTTGTTTGGAAAATCATGTTTCTGTTGTCATAGTAAACTAGTCAGGAGCCTGTAGTTCATTGGTTGTCGTTGGTTCATGTCTGTCATATTTGTTTTTTTCGAAATTGTTTTGTTATAAATTAGGCCATTAGTTTTCTCAATTGAATTGTTTCACATGTTTTTCATGTAAGGGCCTATAATAGCTGACTATACATAATGTTTTTTTTTCATTGTTGAAGGCCGTACGGTTGCCTATCATTGCTTACATCCACTTCATTTGAACTTGGGTGTATAGTTGTCTCATTGGCAATCATAGCACATCTCCTTATTTTTATATAGAAACATTAATACAAATGTCTTTAAAATGGCCAATGTCAGTCTGAACCAAACTTTGTAGGAATAATATATGAATGATTATCGTGTGAAAATGCTAAATAGTTCATTCTGATTGATGAAGTAAGTTGCTGCTAGGTATTATTTTAGATCCCTATGAATATGCATTGAATAAGTTACTTGCCACGCCAATATTTCACTATAATCTATCCCATTACACAAACAATCTTAGAACAAAAATGATTGTAAATTTGACTTAATTTTAGTATGATAAGATTGTGTTATTAAACCCTGGCAGTTCTAGTAAAACAGGCTTAGGTGAATTTCCAATTCCATCTTTTTTTTTATAATTTAATACCAAATGTAGGAAAAATAGTCAATTTTAGCAGGCTTTTTATTTCTTCTCATCTTGATTTTTCTTGTATGTTGATCTGCTGGCAATCACAAAAACATATTGGTATATTAACATATGTAAATAGAGCAGAAGTCCAAAAATCATCAAAGGACTTCATCAAAGGTATAAATGTCACATTCACATATCTTGATTGGAAATATGACAAAGTAATAAGGAAATGATAGGAATAATAATAAGGGAAAAGTCAGTACACAAAGGTAAACTTGGTATACCAGTAGATGCCATGAACCATTAAACATTTTTAGCTAACTTGGCCCAATGGGCTATGCCAGCTATTGCTATCACTTGGCGTCTGTTGTCATCTGTTCATTGTCATTGTAAACTTTTATGATATTATTTTATCTTAACTTTTATTACTTTAACTGAACGATCATTAGGATATCTAGTAAAAAATTAGGATTTTTTGTTACTGCCAATAGACCAACATGGCTGCCATGGCTTAAAATAGAACACAAGAGATAAATTCATTTATTGTTTAATATCTTGAAAAATCTGATATGGCTTAAATGCTCAGAATGTCAAGATCTATCTCCTTTCGATATGCACCAAAATTATCAGATGCCTCCTTATAAGAGTTATTGCCCTAAGATCAAGATTTTTGACTAATTATCAAGTTTTTGCCTATTATTTCAATTTCTGGCTGTAAATGTCATGAGCCATCCATCATATTTATGTGTTTAAATTAAAAAAAATGGTATACCAGTAGATGCCATGATGGCTGCAACCAACAATATCCTGATCTATTAACTAGGGGATTATATGGTAAAATTTTAGTCAGATTATAACAAACTTGGCCTGATCTTTGTTAGTGCCTAATCTTTCTTATAAATGAATACGAAGTCTAGAGTTATATATGAAAAATGCATAGACTACATGAAATATTGAAAAATTGGACACCACATGTACAGCAACTTGGAATAACTGGTCATAATAATATATAATAAATAAGGTCATTTCTATAAATAAAATAAAGACATTTATTTGATAGAGAACTAATTAATATCATTTATATAGTATTGTAATAATATGTTTTATCATCATAATGTAATAATTGTCACAATGATGTATTTAATATATACTTCGTGTGTCATAACTCTAACTCTAAATCTATCTAACTCTTGATATAATATAATGTTAAATTTAACTTGTATGACAGATGGGTTTGTCTGCCTTTCTCCAAAAAGTGTTTTTTTCCTTTTTAAAAATGGTGTTTGTGTCCTTAGCTGTCAATATTAACAGGATTTTAATTTTGCTTATGAGCTATGTCAACTTTTAAAGGAAATTTGCACATGTTTTTTTTTTTTTCGATCCACGGCTCCAGATGTTTTCAAGGAAGAATGATATAATTCATAGGATATATGTTTATATACAAATGTTGTGTAATTTTACTTACCAGTAACTCATTCACAAAACACAAGTTGTTGATATCATATTTAAAGGTTTTTTTTGTAAATATGCCGTTAATGTTTATTTAAGTTCAATGGGTTATATTTTTCTTTCAGAGATATAAATGAACAAGTAATAAGTGACCGCTTTCCTTTTAACCTCCTTTGTCATATATCTTAATTTATTTTACAGGCCATTCAATAGATTCATTGGACCCATGGGTTAGACAGTCCAACTCTTCCTTACTGAAGACTGCCCCAGTGGAGCTTAAATCAGTTCGGAATCGGTCCAGTAGTAATGATATCAAAAATGGACACATGTTTCTCAAAGATCTGGTTTGTTATCTCTCTTTATTAGAGGCCGGTAGACCAGAGGACAAACTAGAATGTAAGTATATGTACTAATGATTCATTAATATTTGTGTGGTACCAATTTGTTAGAGGTTGGTAGACCAGAGGACAAACTAGAATGTAAGTATATGTCAAATATCCAGAAAAACATTACTTTTCTTCAATCCATGAAAATTGGTACCATAAACATAAAATAATTCACAGTATGTAACAGATGACCCATAATAACATTAGAGTTTCTCTTTTGTCTTTGGTTAATTTTATGAAACAAGGTGGGTGCTTTTGTAACTGGTGTGTTTTGCTCCTTTATATATTGAAAATGTACAATTTATATTAGATCCATAAATGACCATTATGTAGTTGAATGTTTGTGCTATATAATAAATATCTTTAATTAGTCATGATTTTATATGATAACAGTAAGAATTGATTTTAGATTGGTGTTAAGCACACTAATGTTCTAGTATAGAATGTCTGTTTCTATAGATTTTTGGAAAGATTGCAATCTGTCTCTATATCATTGGAACCTCAATGCATTTTTATACTCCCGTTTACTGGACGTATTATGGTATACCGCAGTGGCGGATCCAGAAGTTTTCATAAGGGGGCCCACTGGCTGCATAAGAGGGGGCCCGCTCCCGTCATGCTTCAGTGATTTCTTAAATAATTGAAACCAAATTTTTCCCATAAAGTCTGTCCTTCCGTCCGTCAATCTGTCAGTCTGTCGTCAACATGTTGGACAATAATTCAAAAACGCTTTAACCAATTTTCATGAAACTTTGGTGAATTGTTTATATCTATTGACGTGAACTTCCTTTCGATTTGTAATAAATTTTAGATTTTTTTTATCGAGTTACAGGATTTATTTAAAAGAAGGGGTGGGATTTTCCAGTTTTTGGACAATAACTCAAAAATGCTTTGATCAGTTTTTATGAAACTTTGGAGACTGGTTTATATCTATTAAAACAAACTCCCTTTAGTGTTTTTTTTTTTTTTTTTTATAAATTTCTGATATGACATTGAGTAGTTAAGGAACTTTATTCTTTGAAAAAGCGATGGGCGTATCATGAGCTCATGGCACAGCTCTTCATTCTAAGATTCTATCGTTATAATTTTCTTTTTCTGCTCCAAATTTTTCCTAACTCACACACACACTAACTCAGGGTCATGAAAGCTGGCTTGATATTTTTTCATTTTTTACAGTTTGCTTTTCATACAGTTGATAGTAAAACAAAGGAGATGGGGTTATGATCTAACCATGACACAAAATCAGTACATGCACAATTAATAACAACCAAAAAAGCATAGGAACAGCGCTTTTATTGCTGTTCTTCATCTCAAAGTCACAGTGAGAAATTTTCACTTAATAATATATAAACAAAAAAGACCTTTTTTAATTGGACAGCATGAGTTTCCTGTTGCACATTGATTCTCATACCTTGCACAATAAATAAAAGAAAACATTTTGGTGGGTAGCATTCAGGGTCGCAGAAAGATTTAAATTTAAGGGTCAGTACATTTGGACTTAGACAACTTTAAGAGAACATTATGCTTAGTGCTTTATGTCATTAAATCATAATAGGGTTGCCATATTAATTCCCTACTTTCTCCTTCTTATACCATTGTCATTAATCTGACCACCGGTCATTATGAATGTAATTATATATCATTAAATAGACAGCCAAGGTTATTTATTGGGTATTTTATTGATATGGAATATATTTATATCATATGTTTATTTATAGAGTGGTCAGTTTATGTTATCACTTGTAGTGCTTTCAATAATTCTTGGCCAGATGAATAAAAAAAATGTTATGAAAGCTAGGTTCATTTAATTTGGTTTGTAGTAAAAAAAGAAGGGGTTGAGTTAAAAATTTACAATTAAAGTTTAAATAAATAGAAACAGCACAGTGTACTGGTTGACAATAAAAGAATGCTTAATGCAATATATGTAGCATCCTCGAAATTATGTACACAGAACTGGGGGAGCAGGGCACTTAACTAATAAACAGCCTAATCTATAGCATTCATATTTCTATTAAAACTGGACTAATTTATGTTACGATTGGTCATTTCAGTTATGTTCAGGTTGTACGACACAGATGGTAACGGTCTCCTTGACAGCAGTGTAAGTATTTAGCGATAATACTGATACAAGTGGATAGGAAAATAGGGATGCCAAAAAGAGAAACTTTAAAAGAAAAGAATATGTCAATAATTAGTACATTGACTCATGCATATTTACAAGCGGGGGCCCATAGACACATTCTCCATTTATTTATTCCAATATTAAACTATGACATGTATCAATTTTTATGATTCCAGCATAAACAAAGTTGTTTATTCTATCTGTCTGTTTACAGACCAGACATTAGCTCACCTTTGTAAAGTTTATTCACAGCTTGATTTAAATATTGTAATGTTGAGTACAAATGAAAGGAGATGTGGTGTATACATCAGTGAGACAGTAACCCACCTACAAAAATAACCAAATAAAATTTAGATTGCAAAATACTGTTGTTTTAGTTGGGAAGAATTAGAGCTTCCTTTACCGACAGCTCCAAATCGTCCCTAGATTAAAGTTGTAAATAATTAAACAAACAGTCAAAAGATCTGACATGAAATAGGTGTTGGTCCATTGTTGAATGACTTATGATAACTTTTGAATCTTAAATTCTCTGCCTTATATGGCCATGATATATAGATTTACTTTGTATTGATGAGTTCCAGACGGAGTTTTTATTTGATCCCAGTTGACATTATTTTTGAAGGAGTTACTTCCCTTTGACTTAAAATGTTTATATGCATGCAATTGTTCTTGTCAAGATTTTTCCCACATGCTTGCAGGTATTGAACTTAGTTTTTATGTGGTTAGTTGTATATTGATAATTCTAATGTAATCATTATTTAACAACTTATTTCATTGGCTAAAATTTACTGTCAAATCAACAATTGATATGTCTTTGGCCACCATTTTGAATTACAAATGTACTGGAATTCATAAATGTTCAATTAAAACAAAATAATGGAAAATGAAACATAATCTACCTAAAAAACACTGTTTTAATGAGATTTGATCCAAATCTGAATCGTACATGTACCTAAATAACCTTAGGTTTGGAAGTTTTCATTTGTATGACATCAAGTTTTGCCATGTTGTTGATGCACCAAAATCATTCATGAAGTTTTTGGGAATTTTATTTTATCATAAATAAATACATTTTTACAAGCTCTAATGTGCAATTAACAGTAAAGTAGAGATGCGGCCGTCAATAGGGAATTGACAGTTGCAAATATCCATTTTACTAACTCAGCTACGTGTCACAAGTAAAACAGCATTTGCGATTGGCAAATTGGCAATAAAGACTGCAACTTTTCAACTACAGTATGGTTATTCCTTAACTCACAAATAGTAATAGAGTTTTTAGTCTGGTTGAATTTACTTTTTACTGAGTTCTAGGACCAAAAAAAAACCCCAAAAAAAACATATATAATTGTTCTTGTTGGAATGTGTAATTTCTTTATGCTTGTAAACATCAAGTTTTTGCAGATATTGAAAAAAAAATGCTATATGAATAGTCCAGCAGGAACAGTACTACTTAATCACCATTTGGATTTAACATGTTTCCGTATTGTTCAATCTATAGTTTTTATGTAGGGGTTTGTGAACAATATGTTTTTTGTCCTTTGTTTGTTTTGTCATGGTGTTGACATGGTTTTTGATTGCTCCTTTGAGTAACATCTAACTTTTGATGAAAGCCAATACCATTAATGTAATCTCCAATCAAGCAGTATCACCCATATGGGATTACATGCATGTAATCATTACAAAGATATGACTAATTTTACAGTACTGAATTTTAATAAGCAATATGACAAGTGCTTTTACCTTCTGGTAAAATACTGAAATTAAACATAAAAATTAAAAAAAAAGTACTGAATTTAGGGAAGATTTCATAAATGCAAGTTGTATTGAATTTATGAATAATAATTAGAATGTAACATAGGTATATATTTGAATTGATGGATGTTAGTAACGTGAAATAGGCTGGATAATGTTGAAATTGAATATCGTTGAAACAATTTTGTTGGACAATTGATTAGGCTTAATTAATTATAGGAATACAAATTAAGGTGCAGTAATCCAGGTAAATTAGATATTTCATAAACTAGAAATTTAGAAACTAAATAAGAGGTGATCGTGTTAAAATAAATTTGTAACTTTTGCCTAAAATATAAGTTTTTTGTCACCAAAAATTTGTTTCATTTTTGTATTAGACCTAACTGCAATTTATTTTGAAAAATAAGTTTCAGACATATATTTCAATATCAATTTATGCTAACTTTGAATTTTTCAATTTTTAACCATCATAGTTCCAACAAAGCTGAAGAGGGGACTTTAGGTTTGGACACTGTCATTCTGTCTGTCAGTCTGTTAGTATGTGTATCTGTTGAGTTTCCACACTTTCTATAATACTTATAATTATTGGTTTAATATTTGGTATAAAGTCATATCATAAGAAGTTACAGATGGTATTTTCATTTGTGTCAACTGTTTTGGTTGTGGGAATTTTGGCCGTTGGAAATATCAGTTTTCAGCACTTTTGTCTAAAATGCCTAAATCAATTTATAAGTCATTTGGTATACAGTGATGTCAGTTAAATCCTAAGAACCTATTTGAGCAGGTTTGAGTCTTGCTCAGATTATGAGATTTTTCATCAGTAACAACTTAATGCTTGTCCCATTTAAGTGTAAACTACTCCAATGTAAACATTACAGCTGGTAGAGGAACTATTGTATATGTTATACACTCAAAGTGCTTGTTTTATGTTTATTTTAATCAAGTACCAAAAATTCTTCTGATTCTAAATAGGTGCATTACTGGAAGGTATTGTGTTGAAAGGTAACAAACCCCTACCTTACATTAGTATGGCCAGATGTATCCTCTTAAGCTACACTGATATTAAATATGTTTATGATTATATTTATTTGATATTAAACATGTTTGCGATTATGTCTATATAATATTCAACATGTTTGTTATTATGTCTTTGAAATTAAACATGTTTGTGATCATGTCTTTGATATTAAACATGTTTGTGATCATGTCTTTGATATTAAACATGTATGTGATCTTTGTGATCATTTCTTTGATATTAAACATGTTTGTGATCATGTCTTTGATATTAAACATGTTTGTGATCATGTCTTTGATATTAAACATGTTTGTGATCATGTCTTTGATATTAAACATGTTTGTGGTTATGTATATATGATATTAAACATGTTTGTGATCATGTCTTTGATATTAAACATGTTTGTGACCATGAATTGGATATTAAACATGTTTGTGACCATGTCTTTGATATTAAACATGTTTGTGATCATGTCTTTGATATTAAAAATGTTTGTGGTTATGTATATATGATATTAAACATGTTTGTGATTTTTTTCTATAGGAACTGGATTGTATTGTTAATCAGATGATGTCAGTAGCAGAATATTTAGGCTGGGATGTCTCTGAACTTAAACCTGTAAGTACACTACACCTTGTGAGATAAAATATACAAATACAAAGATGTGGTATGATTGCCAATTGAAAGAGCCAACTATCCATACAGACTAAAGGACAAAGCTGTGCTTTTTCTGGTTAGTTGGGGTCAAAAAGGACTTCCTATTGTAAACCTAGTCTAAAGTTGAATTTCTATTCTTTGAATGTGTTTGAATTTTGTCATTAACTGTATTATTCCATGCTACTGTCTCTAATTTATAAATGAATATGGTGAACATATTCTTACTTGTTAGCTTGATTGATTTATTTTGATGGATTGATTGATTAATTGATTAATGTTTAACCTCTAGTTGAATTGTATACAGTGTATATTTTTTGACAACATGTTAACTGTTATTTTATGAAGTTTATCATCAACTTTGATTTGAACTTAAGCCACAACTGTTTTGTAGCATTATCTGTTTGTGTAATGGCAAAGAGGTAATTGTCCTGCTCTAGTTAAAGGTGCAGCAATGAGACAAAACTACAAATAACCAGTAATACATTTTGATAAAACATGCACACTTGAAGCAGCTATTAAGATTTATATAAATTAAAATGCAGCTTCATTTGTAATTATAAAGAATGAAAGACTGTGTTGAATAACCCCATGTGTTAAACATACTACTTATATTGAAAAGTTTGTCAAACTGTGCATTTATTTGTTTTTAAAATTGTATTGGCATTTTCTGACATAGTATGCAAAGCTATGCCACAATAATTATCTTTCAAATACTAGAGGGGTTGTGAGGGAAAAATAGTTTTTTCTGTTCCTTTCTAATTTAAATACACCCTCCTGGGGGAAAAGGGGGGGGGGGGGAGAGTGGGGTTAGTGACAAAATGTAAAAGGCCCGTCTTGTCATGACATTTAAAAATAAGTAACACATCTTCCAATATTAGTTATTATAAGATGTGAATACACCCTGCTGTGTACAGGTACTAGAGTTTTATAAGCAAGCTTATTTGATAACAGTTTACAGGAAGACTTAACATCCTACTCTGAAACATTATAATGACTCCAAGCTTGATTTTACATCAAGATACTGTATGTTTCTCTTACAATTAAACATCTTTGGATTGTCCTAACTTGTGAGTCAACCCAAAAGTTCCATTTAGTTTAATTCAGTAGTTGTCATTAGTTGCTGTGCTGTATTTGTATTTTTGGCATAGATAAGGCTGTGAGTTTTCTTGTTTGAATCGTTTTATATTTCATCATGCTGAGCCTTTTATAGCTGACAATTAATACAGAATGTGCATTGTTCATTGTTGAAGGCCGCATGGCATATAGATTTATAAGAAAAGTACTTGTACTCTGGCCCAACATGTAACAGATGATTAACACATTATTTTATGATTTCATCGTCCTGAACATGCATGAAATAATAGCCACTGTGCATTAAGCAACCAACAGTCAATAAATATAATACATGTACTTGTAATCTGGTCCCCTTCATGCCCAACATGTAGAAGTTGATTGACACATTTCTTTATAATACATGTACTTTTAATCTAGTCCTGTTCGGGCCCAACATGTAACAGGTGATTGACACATTACTGTAGAATACCATTATTCAGTATCAATCCATCAATATTTTATATTAAATTGATGGTGTGCTAGATAACAATATTATAAAATTCAAATTTTTTGAAAATATACTATATGACTTTTGATAAAATTTTAATGTATCATTTTTTTTTTCATCTTTTAAATTTATGAGTTTAATGATCAGAAGGTTTTCTATAGGAAAAGTTTTATGTTCTTATTCAAAGTTGTTGTAGAGTTTTAGAAATTTAATGTGCACAATTTATTCATATTGATATTGTTTATGAGTTGTCTTATAATCAGTCAAGCATTAAACATTAATATTGATAACTCTATGATTTAAAATGTCTCGTAGGTTTGTTTTTTACTTATCTGCACTTATGTAAATCAGGTTACATGTTAGCTTTAAAAAAATGAATTTTAATCATAAAAGAGTGTGAAAGAGTCAACAGTTATTCTTATTTTAATGAAACATTTGTGTTTATTTATGGTCACAAGTCGAGGTCTACTTTCGTGGATTGAGAAAAATAGTATTTTCATGGATACTTGATTTCTTGGTTTCATATACAAATAAATTGAGAATGGAAATGGGGAATGCATCAAAGAGACAACAACACGACCAAAGAGCAGAAAACAGCCCAAGGCCACCAATGGGTCTTCAACACAGCGAGAAAATACCACACTGGAGGTGGGCTTCAGCTGGCCCATAAACAATAATGTAGACTAGTTCAGCGAAAATGGACGTCACACTAAACTCAGCAAAATATAAATGAACCAAAATTTTAAAAACATACAAGACTAACAAAGGCCAGAGGTTCCTGACTTTGGCTATTTTCTTTTTTTAGATTTTACAAGATATGATGATAGAGATAGACTATTTTCTATTTTTATGTGCCCTTTTATGGGACATATTATGGTATACCCTTTTCCGTCTTTCTGTCCGTCCGTCTTCAACATGTCGGACAATAACTCAAAAAAAGCTCCCTTTCGTTTCTTTTTAATTCTAGATTTTCTGTTTCTGAGTTATGGGATTTTATTCATAAAAGAGGGGGGATTTTCCAGTTTTCGGACAATAACTCAAAAATTCTTTTAGCAGTTTTCATGAAACTTTGGTGACTGGTTTAAATCTATTAAAATAAGCTCGCTTTAGTTTTTTTTATAAATTTCTGATATGACATTGAGGAGTTGTGGAACTTAATTCATTGGAAAAGCGACGGGCGTATCATGCGCTCATGGCACAGATCTTTATTAGATTTTACAAGACTGATGATAGAGATCAACTTTTTTATATTTGTAGATTTTACAAGATATACTGATAGAGATAGACTATTTTCTATTTTTAGATTTTACAAGATTGATGATAGAGATCGACTATTTTCTATTTTTAGATTTTACAAGATTGATGATAGAGATCGACTATTAAGTATTTTCTAATTTTAGATTTTACAAGATATGATGATAAAGATAGATTATTTTCTATTTTTAGATTTTACAAGATATGATGATAGAGATAGATTATGATTCTGATGGTACAGTATCGTTAGAGGAATGGAAGCGAGGAGGGATGACCACCATACCTTTACTAGTCTTACTAGGATTAGATACAGTACGAAATATTCTCACATATCATTGTACAATTCAGAATTTAATGTCTGCATTTTTTTTTTAAAAACAAGACAATGTTGGACTTACAGGATTGCATTAAATATAGTAATAGATAGGTATCAATCGACACAATTTGAGCATGAGTTACTTCCCATTTGTCGCCATGTTGTAGGTCTAAGTGCACAAATTCCTTCATAAATCAGCCAAATTCAACTTGTTATAATGACCGCTAGTCTTTAGATAAAAGGGTTTTCTCAACAATTTTTATTTCTTCTTTTAGCCTTGCTTATTTCATTACTATGGTCTAGTAGGGATCTCATATCAGATTTGTGTGTAATGTTTGTTTCAATTTGGTTAATCAAATAAGAAAATGAACTGTTCATCCCTCCAAAATGGCGACCAAGAGAATTAAGAAAAAAAAAATTTATACTAAAACTCAAACCTATCATAGAAAACTTCTTGCCAAAGTAGAATACATGCTTTAGTTTCCATCATGTCAATAAAAACAAATTGGTTTCTGAGTCAACAATATTATTAAGCATACAGTATGACCGAGCAAAGCATGGATTTCATGTATCAATCAATCTTTCCTCGTTTAATATTTGTATGTTACAATGGAGACAATATTGGGTAATTTTATTTCCAAATTCAATGTGACAGCAATGATCATGTGATCTAAGTAGTCATATGATGTCCTGTTTTTGTTCTGAACAAGATTTATTTTTCGAGAGAAAGTACATTTTTTAAAAACAGAGAGAAATGCAATTTGATTAAAAAAATGGATGATCTATGTGCTGCAGTGAAATCAGAACTCATTTAAATCTTCAGACAATCTAAGGTTTATTAACTAATAATCAAAGCTAATTTGTATGCATTTGAGATCGGTCCTGCATGTTACAAAAGTCGTATATTATACAACTCAGTAATAATATGTATGCTTTCTTTATGATTTACACAGGATATAAGTCATTTGACATTTTGTGAATTGCAGACTGTACCAAGAGAAATCAAAAGTCTTTGTGTGTATTTTTATATTAAGTATTAAGGCCCTGTACATGTATATACTGTAGATTCATAAATTTAATACAAGCATTTAATATTGTCAAGATTGGACGACAGACAGTTGTCAGTTGTCAATAATTGACATTCCTTAACATTAGACAATAGAATATAACTAAATGAAAAAGACACTGAAGGGACAACTGAAACAAATCATAACTCAGCTAAAAACCGACAATACCATGACAAAAAACACTACCATAGAGAATGGATTTTAATATTGAATGAATGATCATCCTGTCGCATGTTTTTTCAATAAAAAAAACATTGAAACAGCTTGACTAAAATTAGAATTTATAGTTATTGATGACATGACAGTTATTAATGTTTTTCTATTTAACAGAATGTACAAGATGATGGGACACATGTTTGGAGATTAAAACACTTTGGAAGACCAGCATACTGTAACTTGTGTCTCAATATGTTAATGGGTGTAGGAAAACAAGGGTTGTGCTGTACATGTAAGTTACACAAAATGTAAATCACACTCAACACAATTTGTTAATGGGTAGAGGCAAACAAGGGTTGTGTTATACATGTAAGTTACACAAAATGTAAATCACACTCAACACAATTTGTTAATGGGTAGAGGCAAACAAGGGTTGCGCTGTACATGTAAGTTACAAAAAATGTAAATGTACATGTAAGTTACACAAAAAGTAAATGTACATGAAAATAACACAAAATGTGAATCACACACAACAGAGGCAAACAAGGGTTGTGCTGTACATTTAAGTTGCACAAAATGGAAATGTACATGTATGTTGCACAAAATGTAAATGTACATGTAAGTGACACAAAATGTAAATGTACATGTAAGTTACTCAAAATGTAAATCACACACAACACAATACATTAATTGGTGTAGCAATGGGTGAAGGCAAACAAGGTGTGTGCTGTACATGTAAGTAACACAGCATGTAAATCACACAACATTCTACATTTGGATAGGAAGATTTATTTGACCATACAGAAGACACTGAATGAACTGGTACTTCAATGTGTCACTTTCATTTCATAATACACCTACTAGATGTATAAACTTAGCTTTATATGTTTATCTTTATACCTAAAGTAAAACAACTAATTGAAGTATAAACGTTATCATCTAATTAATACCATTGTATGATAGAATGCATAATTTACAAATAGTTCTCAACTCACGTTTTGTGAATATTCTAAAACCACAAATATTGATACCCAATATAAAGCATTTATCCACTGATTGACATGTCAAATTAATCAATTTACTATAAAAACTAAAAGACCAAAAATATTCCCACAAACCACAAAAGGCACTTTTACGTTGTTTTTGATGTTTTTTGTGTTTTCTGTTTACAGTTTGTAAATACACAGTACATGAAAGATGTGTTCAGAGAGCTCCAGCATGTTGTATAACTACGTATGTCAAATCTAAAAAAACATCACAGGTAAACAGACCGCAGGTAAAATACTCAAATAAACAATGCGACCATAGATTTTTGTGATGGGGAACTATGTCTGTATGTAGGTATAACAGTTACTGTAATGAAGCCCCATTTCATTAAAACATTAACTTATTTATGACTTAAAGTCTTCAGACCACCTGACCACAAAATGTTAATAAAATATTACATAAATGGAGAAATTTTAGGAGTCATAATTTAAAATAATAGAGGATACGGTACACCAACTAATTTTGGCAAGTAGAATAATACCGCCAATGTTAAGTGTCCAAAATAGTTTAAACTTCAATCTTCTCTATATGAGAACACCAACACAGTTTGAAAATCACTGCAAATTTGGCTAAGAAGGACTAAATAGCAAAAAAAGTATCCATGAAAAACAAGTTGATTTACAGTAGTTTTACTGATCTTTAATTTTTTTTAGAAGGTATTTATAAACATGTTACTTGTGTAAAATATTTGTTATGTTATCTTTTCAATCATCTCATCATATGCCCATGGATGAGGAATTTTTCAGACTATGCTAGCTACATGCATGTTAAGAAAAATATAGATATTTTTTTTACTTTAACATAAACTTTTGAGTCCATCATTTTTCGAAGATTTATTTCTCGATGTCTTATTTCATTCATTAAATATTACAAAAGCTTTAAAGTAACACTTCCATCCCCTCAAGTCCTACTTCATTCACATAAATCTAAAGTACCCTAAGTGCCATTCATTAAAATATCACAAAAATCTTTGGGAGTGTTGTACTACATTTTTATGTTGTACACAACCTCCTCCTAACAAATAGAATAGATGTAGTTTGTTTAATATTTTAGAAGAATATTCGTTAACTTGTGTGAAGTATCGTTTTAGGAGCATGGATTGTGGCGACAAGTCATGTATGAATTGTGTTATTCAAAAGTTTTCATAGAGAATTGTACCATCACAATGAGTGTTCTTTATATAGCATGAAAACTTTGAATTTAAGGACAACATGCTTTGTTAAATTCATTGTATATTTGAAGATTAGTCAAGAAATTTGTTACACTTATAGTTTCAGAGACGGACAAAAAGTTGATTAAATTTTTTTCAAATCTTTTCAAGAATTCTTTTTTCTCAATCCATGGTTTTGGAAGGTTTGTTTGTAGGGAAAACTGAGAGAATTGGGTGGGTAGGCAAGGAAAAGTGTAAATTTTATGATATTTAACTCTGACTAGTTATTTCTAATTATTTGAAAACGTGCATTTTACATTGTTAAATTGACTTAAAAATTTTCAAAATTTTTAGGACTTTTTCAGCGTTTTTTTAGTATACCGGTACCTATTGTGTTATCAGCTTTCTCCTAGATGCTTAACTTGCAAAATGTTTCCATGGAGTTTTTCATCTCACATTATTGAAGCATTTGACAAATCATCACTCAATTGTAGAAAAAAAAGAAAATAATTTGCCTTACCTTTCTAATTGGAGTCTATAGTATGCATTGAAATCACTTTCATATATATTCATAAACCTCAGCGGTACAAGTAAGACTGTAGACAGATTCCAAGCAACATTTTCTTGTTCACAATCAAATTTTGTCATACCATATAAAATATGTACCAAGAAATGAAATTATTTTTTCATTGAGTGGATTAACAATAAAGCGCTAACTAAATATATGTTTTAGTCAATAAATTGAAATATTTTTAATAATCCATAGCAATCAGATAGAATGGACTTGTAGTAAAATATATGAATGAATATCAACATAAGATAAGAGGAAATTTAGTTATTCAAACAGTATTAAATTATAAAAATTAACAGCTTTTCATAGCAAAAATTATTTATTGCCTACATAGAATTTTATTTTTTAAAGAAAAATTTAGAAGTAAACTTTGAATTTGTTTATGCATGACTTAGTATTGTACATCACAGCATATAGATGTATAATGTGTGAAATTTCCTAAACGCCTTCAAAATGAAGAATAATTACGAATGATTTACTATTTTGAAAATTTAACAGGTTATGAACCACCACTGGGTGGAAGGCAATTGTCCAGGAAAATGTGATAAATGTAAGAAATCCGTAAAGACTTTAAATGGTGTGACAGGACTACATTGTCGCTGGTGTCACGTTACAGTAAGTACATTATTGTTAGAACTACATGACATAGTGTGACAGGACTACATTGTCACTGGTGTCACATTACAGTAAGTACATTATTGTTAGTACTACATGACATAGTGTGACAGAACTACATTGTGGCTGGTGTCACGTTACAGTAAGTACATTATTGTTAGTACTACATGCCATAGTGTGACAGGACTACATTGTGGCTGGTGTCACATTACAGTAAGTACATTATTGTTAGTACTACATGACATAGTGTGACAGGACAACATTGTCACTGGTGTCACGTTACAGTAAGTACATTATTGTTAGTACTACATGACATAGTGTGACAGAACTACATTGTGGCTGGTGTCACGTTACAGTAAGTACATTATTGTTAGTACTACATGACATAGTGTGACAGGACTACATTGTGGCTGGTGTCACGTTACAGTAAGTACATTATTGTTAGTACTACATGACATAGTGTGACAGGACTACATTGTGGCTGGTGTCATGTTACAGGAAGTACAATATTGTTAGTACTACATGACATAGTGTGACAGGACTACATTGTGGCTGGTGTCACGTTACAGGAAGTACATTATTGTTAGTACTACATGACATAGTGTGACAGGACTACATTGTGGCTGGTGTCACGTTACAGGAAGTACAATATTGTTAGTACTACATGACATAGTGTGACAGGACTACATTGTGGCTGGTGTCACATTACAGTAAGTACATTATTGTTAGTACTACATGACATAGTGTGACAGGACAACATTGTCACTGGTGTCACGTTACAGTAAGTACATTATTGTTAGTACTACATGACATAGTGTGACAGGACTACATTGTGGCTGGTGTCACGTTACAGTAAGTACATTATTGTTAGTACTACATGCCATAGTGTGACAGGACTACATTGTGGCTGGTGTCACATTACAGTAAGTACATTATTGTTAGTACTACATGACATAGTGTGACAGGACAACATTGTCACTGGTGTCACGTTACAGTAAGTACATTATTGTTAGTACTACATGACATAGTGTGACAGGACTACATTGTGGCTGGTGTCACGTTACAGTAAGTACATTATTGTTAGTACTACATGACATAGTGTGACAGGACTACATTGTGGCTGGTGTCACGTTACAGTAAGTACATTATTGTTAGTACTACATGACATAGTGTGACAGGACTACATTGTGGCTGGTGTCACGTTACAGTAAGTACATTATTGTTAGTACTACATGACATAGTGTGACAGGACTACATTGTGGCTGGTGTCACATTACAGTAAGTACATTATTGCTAGTACTACATGACATAGTGTGACAGGACTACATTGTCTCTGGTGTCACTTTACAGTAAGTACATTATTGTTAGTACTACATGACATAGTGTGACAGGAATATACTGCAGCTGGTGTAATTGCCAAAGAAAATAAACAGTAACATGATATAAAGAAGAAAAACAGCATAAATTATTTAATACTGGATCATTTTGTGCATCATTTTTATAAAACTAAATATAAGCAATAACCTTACCAAAAAAATACAGATATTTAAAAGTAACAATACTCTTAGATATCTAAGTGTTATAGGTTATATTGATGTATGAGACTGGCTAATTCCTGAATTATTCTGAAAAAATAGGTTGGTGGTTTTATAAGGGTACTCTAGGTAATTTCTCCAATAAATCACCCAAGGGCTCTAAAAGGAGCTTAAACACAAACAAACAAAAAACCTGAAAAATTTGTCACACAATTACACCACAAACTTGCAAATGGATGAACTTGAATGAATAAAAAGATGTAAGGTAAACATCAATGAGGTGAACCCAATGACACAAAAAAAACATGACATATAGTTCAACATACAGTCTTCAATAGTAGACTGGTGTCTTAGCAATATGTCTGAATTGCCATGAGTGTAGAAAAGTAGAAAAGGCTAAATTTAACAGAAACTTTCAAAGATCTGATATCTACACCCAAGTCCCAAAAATCCCAAAAATGACTTACAATTAAACAACAAATTTATAGTTTGATAAACATAGTTGATAAGTGAGTTTTGATGTTTTACAGCTTCACAACAAATGTATATTTATATAAATACAGTTGAAACATATTATTTTTATATTTTACAACTACACAACACATGTACAGTTAGATAATATAGTTAATAAATGAATTTTAATGTTTTAACAGCTTCACAACAAATATAGAGTTAGTTAAACACAGTTAAAACGTGTATTTGTATGTTTAACAACTACACAACACATGTACAGTTATATAAACATAGTTGATAAGTGCATTTTGATGTTTTACAGCTACACAACAAATGTGCACCACTTGTAAAACCAGAATGTGATCTAGGAGAATTCCGAGAACATACATTACCTCCAACATGTGTCTGTCCAGCTGTTCTGGTAAGTAGTCAAAGGGACATAACTCTATACTGGTGTCATGGTCTGTATTTGTTGTCTAGAGTAACTGGGTGTTTGTTGTCTTGCAAAATTATCTGGCTATTTTATCCTGTATAAGTCTGTCTTTAAGATTATTTTATTAATCAAATGATTCATAGGTAACCTTATTTAATAATTATTTACATACTAAACGTGGAATTATTAGTATTATGTATTTCAATCTCTTGACCACTAGAAGATTTATTTGACAAGTATCTTGCTTTGAAACTTTTGAACTATACAAAAAGATTGTGTTTCAGGTTTCAGTCTAAAAATGAGGGTATGTAAGTTGGAAAACAGATAGTTTTGCAGTTAAAATGTTTAGTTGAAAAAAGTATGTTTATTTTAAATATTTCACACAAAGTGCTATAAACCTCAAGAATAGGTTAAAAATTCTGAAATGCAAATATTTGTTGTGTTGGCCTAGCATATCAATATTAAAAATATCTTTGAAAAGAAGGATTAATTTTATCGAGATCATTTAGATAAAAGATCAAAAACTCTGTAGGTATTGGAAGTTAAAAATATCCCTGAATTATTGTCTCAAAAATTTGAGATAGATCCTGGTGTAGATCAATGCATTTGTTAGACACATTACCTACCAAGCTCATCACCCTTGATTTAAAGCTTGTAAACCAATAAATCCACCCTTGTCCAATATAGGAGTAACTAGTACATATTGGTATGTTTCCTGATACTGGGCTGTGTCACCAAATCATGGGGGAAATATTTAGAAGAAAATTAGAATAAAAGTGGAAGCACTGCAGACTTAACCTGTTGTGAATTCATTTATTTTCTTGGATACCAATTTTCGTAAATTGATGAAAAATTACATTTTTGTGAATTTTTGATTTTGTTGTTTTGCCAAAGACTGCATACAAGCCTAACGAAAATATTTCGTGGAACATTTATATTCATAGTTCACCTGTACCCACGAAATCCACGAAAATTGATATCTCACGAATAATGAATTCACAGTATGTGCCGAGTTTTAGGTTGCAGTGTTAGAACATTACTAGAAGCAGTTATGCTGTACAATATTCTGTTTGGTATGTTCTAATAGACATTCCCAGTAACAGGAAACCAAATTAGTCCTGCAGTCAGCTGTTATAATCATGGTGATAGTTTGTAACTTAACTTTTTTTTATTTTCTATATCATTTTGGATATAATGGTTTTTGAGTAATTGATATCTTCTTGCTCATCTTTTGAAGACGCATCTATTCCTAATTATTCATTCTAAATATTTTGAAGTTATAAAAGGTGGTTTTTTTTCTAACTGAAATATGTTAAAGGTGTTTTTTTTTTCTAGTTATAATTGGTGTCTTTTTCCAATATGAAAACAAGAAATTTATAGCATGAAATAAATATTTAAAAAAAAAATAAATCAATTCTACATGTTTGGCATCCTCTTCTTTGATAATTCTAGAAAAGGGAAACCAAAATTGTGCTTACCATCAACTTTTTTTGCTGTCATAAAACTTCCAAGATCAACATAAAAATTTGTCATTGCCATTTTGTGATGTCAGTTTTAAAACTAGAAATTTACCTTTTAAATTGTTGCATCAGAAAATATCTTTGAACTTCTTTCTTAAACTTATTGAAAAGTCCCCAATTTATACCATTTCATTTTTTTTCCTTTTAATTTTTTTTTTACATTAGAAAAGATCTTTGAATATCTATTTGAACTTCTTGATGTGCCCAATTTATAATTATAAATTTAAAAACTATGTTTTATTTAGGGGGAGGGGTGTAGATAGATTATGACTATTATCACATGATTTTAACAGTCTGCAGCTTAACAAATATTTATGCATATTGTTACTGCATGTTTTGTTGTGTGTCATGCATGATTGATTTTGTTTGTTTGTTTACAGGGGTATTGGGTAAGTTGTTTATACATGCTTTTTAGCTGCATGGTTTTGTTTACTTGTCTCACCTGAAAAGACCTGCTCGATCAATTATATACTGCTAAAATATATACACAAATGAATTTACATTTTTCATAGATTTACTATAAAAACAAAAGTACATGTGTATGCATTTCACTCTCTACTTCATTGCATCCATCCATCCATCCATACCTTCATTCAAGATTTTTATCATGGCTTTTTGATTTCAAGCTTAATAATATTTGACCTGAAGTTAATATCAATTGATGCAAATGTTTAAGGGAATACTGTATGTGTACAGTATTTTGTGTATTGTTAAATATAATTCTGAATTATGCAAAATATATTCATAAAAATTTGAATATGATTTTGATTCTTTTTATGCCCCCGCTGCAGGGGAGGGGGCATTAAGTTTTGTCCTTGTCCGTTTGTACGTCTTCATCTGTTCTTACGTCTTAAAATAACTTTCCATTCTCTAACTTTAGTTTGCCTCAACCAAATATTATGAAACGTATACTCAATTCTAATTACCACTCAACACAAATCAAGTTCGAATTTGGGTGGTGTCAATTCCACCGTTCTAGAGTAATTTCCCATTGTAAATTGAAAAATTTCTGAATTTGCCGTATATTTACAATTGGGGCATCTGTGTCCCATGGAGACATTCTTCATTTATTTGTGCTGTGCAATGGAAATGCATTGATCCCCAAAAGAATACAGCTTAAGGTAAAAATCAATTGTAAGGTTTTTGTCAAACATATATCTTTATAACAATCAAGTTTTTTATGTGCCCTGTTCTTGTTTCCTGAAGACATTTAAACAAAAAGAATACATGCTATTCTTAGACAATATTCCCAAACTAGTTATTGGCTATTGAATTTGTTAATATTTGAAATCAAGATGCAAAATGTTGTTTAATTGATTTTTTTTCTCAAAAATGAAAAATAAAATAAAATGAAACACTAGTTATATAATTTACCTGACCTGTTAGTAATTTAAATCAGGTCAAATGTACCAGAACTCACAGTTGACTGACCTGTTAGTAATTTAAATCAGGTCAAATGTACCAGAACTCACAGTTGAGTGAATGACAGCCATAAGTTTTTTGGTGAAAACAACATTCTGGCATGATCAATTTTTTTGATCTTCCTTTATCAGGTCTTTTAACATCAAGGACAGTCTTAATGAAACCCACACACCATATTATATATTTTCTATTGACACTGTTGCAGATAAAGAAAGTTTTCAGGTGAGACATTATGGGGAGGAATGTAGTTGCTTTTTATTTGCTAGTCCTTTTAAGTTTAGACTATTTACTACCATTGTTCATCATTTATGTATAGTGTTCATTCCAGATGACCATGATTATTGTAATGCTATATATTCAGAAATTGATTCAATGTTTACAAATTTAAGGCGCAAGTACCTAGTACTAAAATGGACCCAAATTTGTGTGAAAAAAAGTGGTTTGAAGATGTTTAATCAAATACTTCACATGGGATTGCAACCTTACTTATTGTATGGTCACAATAATGAGAGGAAAATCACTTTGATTTTGAGGTCAGAGGTCAAGGTTGTAGTTCCAAAAAAAAGATAGAAATTTGTGCAAAACAGTGGTTTTTGGATGCCAACTCAATTGCTTCAGATCCATTGTAACTATACTTGGACCTATTATTTTTGAAAGATTAAGAGGAAAATCCTTATTGATTTTTAGATCAGTATCTAAAAGTTTAAGGTCAGAGTTACTAAAAATAGACCAATTTGTGCAAAGAAGTGATTTGGGGATGCCAATTCAAATAATATGTATGGAATTGCAACCTTACTTTGTTAATTAGTCTCACATAATGAGAGGAAGATCCCTATTTATTACTAAAAATAAGGTCATGGTCAAAGTTACTTAAAATAGATCTGTGTATGACAATCTTATTGTCGAAAATCATAACAGAAAAGAATCATACCGTAAAGTAAAAAGAAAAACTATGCCATCAGGTCACTATAAGCTTTTACCTTATTATATGGGAGCATGGGGTATGTAAGCTTGCTCACTAAAGGTTTTTGTATTGGACTTATAAGTTTGATTAAACCAGTGTAGCATTTGTCAAAAATGGCACAGTTTTTCATTGATTAGTATTTTTAGATTCTTAATTTAGTATAATTTGTATAATGTTGCCCAAAAAGTGGTATGGTTTAAAACAGAACCAGCTGTGATGCTAAGCCAGGGGAGGAAACTTGGTTTTATCCTCATACTCTGATGGTCTCTTGAATGGACACTTATCATTTATATAGAAATAAAAATAAGTAGTGGTAATGAGGTCAATTTTTTTGTCACCAAAAAAACAAACATTATGAAAGACAAGCAACAGTCTATTAAATACTACATAGAAAACTAAAGACTGAGGGACACGAACTCCACCAACAACTGGGGGTGATCTCAGGTGCTGTGGAAAATGTATGTTATAAAAATAAAGAGATGTGGTATGATTGCCAATGAGACAACTATCCACCAAAGTTCAAATCAAGTTAATGTAAACAATTACAGGTAATAATATACCATACATGATCTGAGGTAAACATCAGAAAGTAAAAACAAATTTCACAATTGACAGTTTACCATAGCAACAAACCATGAGCAAATAGTATCTTCTGGTCTGTGCAATCGTCTGTTTTTCTGTCAAGAAAAAGGTTTAAGAATTTGGTTAATTTAGTTTATAAGGATGTTGTAGTCACCCTACTTGAAACTTAGTACACCTGTTCGTTATGATGTAAACTTTCTGAATTTTCTGGCAAATAATGTTTATGACTTCAATTTCATGGTTCGCTGAACATGCAAATGTGATATTGTAACTGAGGTTAAGTTTTTGGTTTTTGGGTAGTTTATCATCAAGTTTTGGTCAGATCCAATTGAAACTTAGTTCACAAGTTCATTAGGATGTGAACTTTTTAAATTAATTGTCAAATTACAGTTATTACACTGTTTCCACGGTTCAATAAACAAGGAAAGTAATAGTAATAATGTAAGCAAGGCAATATTCTTATTTGTTAAATTACTTAATTTTCCTTGAAATGTATGATT